AAAAATAAATAATGCAAACTAAGATGTGAAGCATGACAAAGGTCAACAAATTTAAATTAACAAAAGGGGACTTTACGAATAAGCCCATCAATGGGTACTTATTTATGAAGAGATCAAGACAAAAAACTCCTTTACCAATAAGTCCACACATGGTCGAGATTTTTGTAAAGGACTAAAATAACCCCTCATACTTTAATATGCTCCAATTTCATCCTTAACTTTATTTAACCTCAATTTGACCCCAAATTTCAGAAATTATTCAATTTTGATCCAAAACTTTTTTTTTTTTTAAAATTTTTTTTTTCAAAAACTTTTTTTTTTCCCGCCGGTCTCCGCGCGTTGACTTTTCAATTTTATTTTTCTTTTTTCTTTTTTTCTTCTTTTCTTTCTTTCTGTAACCTTTTTTTTTTTCGTTTAAACAACAATATTGCTGTGATTGACAGTAATATTAACTATATCACTGTTAAACACAGTAAAATGTTTAACACAGTAATATTGCTATATTAATCTCTAGCACAGTAATATTAACACAACAAAACTCATTATTATTGTATAATAGAGTAATATTACTATGTTGACCGTTCAACAAATATAAACATAATAAAAAACCAAAAGAATTAATATTACTGTGAGTGACAGTAATATTACTATAACAACATAATATTACCGTCAACCACAATAATATTACAATAATAGATAATAATATTATTACGTTACTCCATGAATAACACAAACAAACAAAAAATCCAAACAAAATAATAATATTGATGTGGTTGACAGCAATATTACTATAACAACAGTAATATTACCGTCAACCACAGTAATATTATTGTGTTTACAGTAATATTACAATAATAGACAGTAATATTATTACGTTACTCCGTGAATAACTTAAACAAAACCAAAAACCCAAAAAAAATTAATAATATTGATGTTGTTGACAGTAATATTATTGTGTTTACAGTTATTTTACTGTCAACGACAGTAATATAATTATGTTGACTTGTCAAGAAATCAAACAAAATAAAAAAACAAAATAAAAAATAATATTACATTAATTTACTGTCAACGGCAGTACAATTATGTTAATTTACTGTCATTGACAGTATAATTACGTTAATTTACTGTCAGTGACAGTACAATTACGGTCAACGTTTAGCGGCGGACGTAAAAAAAAAACAAACCAAAAAAAAAACTCAAAAAAACACGAAAAAAAATCAACGCCGGAGACCGCCGGAAACCGGCGAAAAAATCCGGAAGAAAAGAAAAGAAAAAAGCAAAAAAAAAAAGTCAACGCCGGAGACCGGCGTTGACCGCCGTTCAACGCCGGAAACCGGCGAAAAAATCCGAAAGAAAAAAAAAATTTGAAAAGTCAACCCCGGAATCCGGCGGCAAAATTTTTTTTTTTTGAAAAAAAGAATATTTGTGAAAAAAAAAAGTTTTGGTCAAAATTGAATAATTTGTGAAATTTGGGGTCAAACTGAGATTAAATTAAGTTAAATGATGAAATTGGAGCATATTAAAGTATGCTCCAAAAAAAAGTCAAAATTGAATTTTTATGGTCAAAATTGGATTTTTGTGGACAAAATTGATTAAATTGGAATTACAATTAAGAATTGGGTATAAATAGTTGAGCGTAATATTGGGATATATATGAGTGTTTCCTTTATTTGTAATAAATATTAAAGGGATGAGCTTATTGGTGAAAGAGTATACCCTCTAAACCTAGAATAATAAACATGCTTCGATGGGGGACTTTATTACAAAAAAAACCCCTTAACAAAAAGATGAAAAGTAAAATACGAATAGGACAAGTATTTCTATTTTAAAAAATAGTTTGAATAGGAATTATAGTGCAATTCTTAAATCTTTTGTACAGGTGTCATTCAATTAATGGACTCCGTGTATCTCTTATTAACGGAGAGTCCGTTTGTAATTTAATCTCCATTTGAAGTGGCAATTGCATGTCGAGCCCTAGCCCTATCTATATATATAACGAAAAGCTCGGTAAAAAGAAAGAAAAAAACAGAACGAAAAAAAAAACAGACATGGCTACAGAATCAGAGAAAACAACACCATCAAATATTCCGCCAGAGATTATCGAAATTATACTGTCAAAATTATCATCTGTTAAATCTCTTCTTCGATTCAAATCAGTTTCAAAGTCATGGAATTCTATAATCTCCGATCCGGTATTCATTCAGAATCATCTCCAATCCTCGAATAACTCTCCGAATAATAATATCTTCGTAAGCTCGAATACAGATGGTACTGATAGAGGGTTTCCTTTGGTTGATTTCGATGTTAGAAAATCCGACGCCGGAAAAATATCCGAGGACAATATTCCCAATGGCTACAACTCTATATTATGCGAATGTAACGGCGTTCTGCTCTTGGGCAGCCGCGTTGAATACGCTCTGTGGAATCCATCAATTCGTTGTGAGATGTTTCTCATATACAAATATGAGTTTCATGAAGATTATATAGTGGATTATGGAATTTGTTATGACCAAATAACAGGCGATTTTAAGGTTGTCTTCATTTTCCCAACGAAATATGCAATTTATTCGTCTAACAACAATTCTTTGACGAAAAAGAATTTAGGAACAAATTACCATACTATTGATGGTACAGGTTCAGGTTTAGGTATATTCGTAGATGGAGCTACCTACTGGATTTTGAGCGACGACACGATTAGTACACACTTGGTGTATTTCGATCCAAGAACCGACGAGATCAAGAGGATGCAAAAGCCCGAACAACGACAAAGTGATGATGACAAATTTCAGTTAATGAACATCGCTTCTTTGAGAGGAAGGCTATGTTTGTACTTCTACAACAAAAAAGAGAGAATTGCTCAAATCTGGATGAAGGAAAAGGGAATCGATAAATGGAAGGAGTTTATAACCTTTCATAATTTTGAGGCTCCGTATAAGTTGTCTAGACCAATATGTTTGGTCGAAAATAAAGTTGTGATTCAAGTAGAGGAAACTTATTTGTCTACTATAGCACTAGTACTGATAAGAGTACTGTTAAAAATAAAGAGTTTGTACATATGTACAATTTCATGGGGTCGCCT